TTATCACAAACTTACCATTGACAGAAATAGTCAGCTCTACTGCCTTTTCTTTTGCATTGAAATCTTTATTACAAGCAATCCTGCGGTTCATAAAGAACTTTGTTTTCCTACCTCCACGAGTGCCATCTATTATTGCCTTGTTTATCTAAAAGTGCTCTTTCCCTTTAAACCTAGCCAACAAAGCAATGTGTTGACTGTGAAACAGAGTAGACTTCAATAATATGCATTTATGGTGTAATTACTACATTTTCGTGTCAAGTCATGTTCATATTTACTGCAAACATTGCACTGTTACTTTAATTCAGCGCTTGCAGCGCAGCAGTAGACTCGGTGCGGAAACGATCTCTGCACTGCTGCAGACGCACTGCTCCTAAACGCACTGCCGGACCGCAACCGTGTGCAGTGAATGTTTTAATCCGTTAACATGAGCGCGGAAAAAATATGCACCACGTATGCACTGCAAACAGAGTAATGTGAACCTGGCATTATGTGTGTGCATGAGCGCACGGTCTCCAGGAGAGCACGCGACCCCTGAATGGTTAAACACTGGCAAGAATTAAAAAGAAATGCAATTTATCAACTTTAGTGATGATGTGACACTGCCTCGATTGTGCAAGTGACAATTCCTGTGTCAACTGTGCAGCTCGCTTATAGTCAGACGCGATGTGTGGTGATTTGAAGCCATTTGCGTATTTTGAGAGAGAGAGAGAGAGAGAGAGAGAGAGAGAGCGCACGCGGTGATTCACTCACGCTGTTTGTGAAATTACGTCTCAACACAAGGTTTTCAAATTACTTTATAAGTTATTTAATGCAAAAATTATGCATTCATAATGCAATAATGCAAAATGATAATTATTTCACCCGCACCAGACAGAGACTGAGACGGTGCCGCTGCATGTCGTGCCAAACCTCTTAACGGCAGCGTCATCAGCTTGAGATCGTTTTTTTGAGATCGGCCCTTTTAGAGACCGCCGATCGATCATCCCAACGTGATTATCGGGTGATAGTGATCGGTAGCCGATCAATTTGAGCATCCCTAAATACAGTATATGCGCTTTAATTATTTACATGCGTGTAGGTTAAGTACGTGCGTCACACAGCGGCTCCGTTCACAGTAGTTCCACAGGATCTGTTATCATTTACATGTGTGGAGCGTCTCAAACTCCATCTCTGCATGTTGTTGTGAGTTTGGGTTTATTATAACGTTCATCTGGGAACGCAACGTGCACCATTTCATCAGATTTGTAAGGTAAATCATTTATAAATCTACGGAAACACAGGAGAATACATTGCGGTTTCAAAATAAAAGCTCAAACCCTCACTCTGAGTTTACACGTTTTGATGTCCACATATTAATTTAATTACAGTGGCTATAGCATTTCTGTCCTAAAGAAATGGCCAAATATTAAAGATTAAGTGGACATTTGAATGAAATGGTGCTTGGTCAATATTAAACAAGGATTAGATCGCACAGTAATGTGTAAAAATAATCATTAGGCCGTTGGCGCCCCCTGCAGGCCTTTGTTGTAATGCGTAATGTACATTAGCTCTATTGTTTATAAATCATTATGCGTTTTGTTAAATAAAATTATATGATTTCTTGCTTTTGATACTTTATTTGAACTAATTATTATTTCCTCATCAATGAATTGATTTTTTCAGAAATACTGCACATTTACATTTTTCTCCTAAATAAATTCTGGTAAATAACATTTCTGGTAAATACTCCTTTAAAAAAGTATTTTTTTGATTATAATTGTATTATTAGTAGACCAGAACACGTGGATATGTTGTCATTCTTACACTATAATACTGAACTTTGATTTCAGTGATTTGGACTATGAGATGGACACTTGCTTCTTGCACTATGTGTTGCACTTTACTTTTAATCGATAAATTAGTCGATAGATTAATCGAAATTAAAATAGTCATTAGTGGCAGCCCTAGTCTCAACTGAAAATATCTTGCTCTGACATATCTTAAAATATGTCAGTGTCATTGTTCTGTGTCAAGATGCACACCTGTAATGTTTTCTTCTAAGGCATTTTTGTAAATGTTGCTTAAATATCTTAATTTAACTAAGGCCTAGTCCTGGCTTAAGCTAAGCCCCGTTTGTGAAACCGGGCCATAATATACTATTTCCTTATTTAAAAAAAAAAAAAAGCTATTGCGAAAATAAACTTTTTTGTCTTACCTTTTTCACATGTGCTATCCTGCTTCTCCTGAGCGAAGTTGAGTCTGTTCTGCTCAACAGCAGTGCCGTTGGACTCTGGGCTGTTGCTGCGTGAAGGATTGCTCTCCCCATTCTGATAGACCATATCCAGATGCTGCTGGGCCAGTTTTAGGTGTCTACGCAGGCGGTCAATATCTCGCGATGAAGACTCATCACCAAAAGACTCCCGACCCGAGTCCAAGTTATACTCTGGTTTCAATCCCATGGACAGCTTGTCTTTTTTCAGTGCAGTGTGGTACCCTGGTGGGGCTGTGGGCACCTGTCTGCATATGGCGCCACGGGGGCGTGGAACGCTATGGTGGCGCACGCGTCGCCGAAAAACATCACGGATTCCACTGAGGCCCAAATGAAGAATCTCCAGCACCGTGAGAGACAAGCAGAGACTGCTCACGGCATACATGATCAGCAGGAAGATCGTTTTCTCCGTGGGACGTGACACAAAACAGTCCACCGTGTGTGGGCAGGGGCTCCGAGTGCACACGTACGAGGGGGCGACCTCGAAACCATACAGGATATACTGGCCGAAGAGGAAGCCCACCTCGAAAGCAACCCGAGATAGAAGCTGAAGGATGTACACCTTCATGAGCCCATCCCGTTTTATCCTCCGCCGACCGTCGTGTTTAGGGGCGGGCTTCTCAGGAGCTTTCTCTTTCTCGGGCAGGATCTCCTCCATCATCATGGGATCTTCCTCACCGTTGTCCTCAGCCTCCTCATAATCACGCTTGGCTCCACGTTTAATCATGGGCATGCGTTTCCTGTTACTCAGCTTGTACTCATCATCATTCATGCGAGCGATCTTGTGCATAGCAAAGCCCAGGTACATAATAGTGGGGGTCGTGATCAAAATTATCTGAAAAACCCAAAACCTTACATGAGAGAGTGGTGCAAATGCATCATAGCAGACATTTTCGCAACCAGGTTGCTGGGTGTTACACGAAAATTTGCTCTGTTCATCGTAGTATATCGATTCTCCCCCCACAACTGTCAACACAATGCGGAAGATGATAAATAATGTGAGCCAGATCTTGCCCACGAAGGTGGAGTGGTTGGAGATTTCATCCAACAGCCGCGTAAGAAAGCTCCAGCTCATCGTGTTTCGAGAAGAACCGCCGTCTCAGTCCTGCAGGAGAACAAGACATTAACTATTAGAAATTTAAAACAGCAACAAAAAGAGAATTTAAGACATTAGCACATTACGTCCAATAATAAATATGGCATGAATACGGCCTACCTGCCTACAACAACTGACAAAAGTTGACTATTCTGAGGAGATGAGGTGCTGATTCAATGTTAAGAACTCCAAATCATGAACAAGACATTTACAGCTTCCCATGCATCTTAGCAAAATGACAATGAACAAGCTGTATGATGTGCTTTACTCTCAGGAAAAAGTTTCTAGGAGCCTTTTTATAAAAGGCTTGATTAACCAGAAAGATTCACTAGATGGAGCTAAAAGGTCACTTTTCTATCAAGCCCTTTCACAGAAACAAGTCAGCTAAGCAAAAGGGTGAGGAAAAAAAAAATATTACAGAAAAAATAATAATGAATCTATTAAGAACCATTTTAACTGAATATGAAAAAAAAACATGTTATTTTGCCCTTACATGAAGAAACATTTGAGATTGAATGTCCTAAAATATACATTTAAAATACACATTTACTTCAAATTCACCTCACTTTGCATTCTTTCTTTCAATAAAAAAATAATCTTAATTATGTTTGGATAAGACACATGTTTACAGAAGGACCAAAGAAAAAAAAAAATAGCTTGAGGCATTTACCACCTTAGTGTTATCTGACCTCTAGTGTGTAACACCTACTTATTAAAACATTCAGTTACTATAGTGCAAATAGAGCATGGGTCTCATGTAGACTTGAGACACAAAGAAAGAAATTAATTTTCCCATTTTGGACAACTAAAGGCCCAGAAGTCACTGTGGAACTGGCAGCCCTAACAAAGTAAATTCAAAACAGGCAACCAATTGAAAATAGTTTGGTCACAAACTGAGTGCAGCTACTTTAAGAGTAGAGAGAGGATGGGGGTCATCTGCCGGTCTAATCAAACGGTGCAATCCACAAAGACTCCTTCAAGTAAACAAAAGGCACTTCAGGCATGGCTGTGAGTGTGACTTGATTTTTCCACAAAGTTCAGTGTGTGAATTTATCAAAACATCTGTAAAGACTCACTAGGGTTCCCTCTATTATTGACCACGGACTTTCTATGACTTTGTTCTTGATTAGGGTATGATTATTTTCAAAGCAGCGTTGGAGAATTAGATTATAGATTTAAGAGACACATTTTACTTGATTAGTTGTATAGTATTGAAGTATAACAAATGTCTTCAATAAGACCCTTCAAAAAAAAAAAAAAAAAGTACATTCTAAATTACTTGATTTATCCGTTTCCACAACCATGAGAACCTTGACTCTCACTCCAAGCCTAAATTCAAATAAAATTCATGGGAACTGGTGGTGACGTGCTGCCAATGGCCACAAATTCTGTCCAAGTGTTTATTAGAGACAGTTGCATGAAGTGAGGGACACGCTGTTGTGGTAGAGAACACTGACTATGAGTGCCATTTAAAGGCTTCAAATCACTGTAATTTGTACTCTGTACAAAGGGCCATATCCGATTGCCGACAGCAGTACAATTGTGTGGTTGTCGTTTGCAACATTCCACAGCTGGTGCCCAGTTGGCCCTCAAATTACACATCAGCAGGGCCCCAAACAGTCTCTACGCTTACAACACACCTAGCTTGGCGAGCTTATAAAAGTGTGATCTTACAACTGGACGTGCACACTTTTTGGTCGATGAATGACAAATAGTCATTGATGTAGTACTAGACAAAGACTTTATCTGCGCTTTAATTTATTTTAAATAAACGATTTAAAGGCATAATCAGGATGGAAAGAGATTAAGAAAGAAAAAAAAAAGTTTAGATTCTAAACTTAGAAAGACCAGCAGAATTGGACTTGAATAACTACCCTTACCAAAAAGTAGTATACTTCAAGTTTATTTTAGCAAGTATACTTAAGTAAAGTTCAAGTATATTTTTAAGTATACTTTATGTAGTAAGTATTCAAATATCAGTGTACGAGTAGTATACTTGTAAGTGTACTATTTCAATACTCCTTGGGACTAAATTGGCCCACTTTCTAGTATATAAAAGTATACTTTTAAGTATACTTTTAGTATAACAGTAGTAAACTTTGAGTACACAACTAGTTTACATATGTGTTTTTAGTTTGTACTGCAACTATACTAAAAGTGAACTTATATACTGATAGTTTACTAATTAAATACTTGTAGTAGCATTTTTAGTACACTTTGAAGTATAGTCTCAGTAAACTACTAGTTTAGTAGTTTTATACTGCAAGTATACTCGTAAGTTTTCTTTAAGTGAACTTTACATCATACTTTAAGTATACTACTATGTCCCTATTTAGGTATTAATTTGTATATATTTTGTTACATAAAACATCAAAAGAACAGGGTATCTGCTTGTAAACAAAAACATTTTATTCTAGCTTCATGCATTCTTTTTTAAACACTTGAATGTGGATAAGTTTCATAAATAAAAAATAAAGAAATAAACAACATTTTGAACAAAAAGCTGAAAAAAGACTATGAATTGGATTCAGAATGATAATCAAAACGTAGATAAAGTCGATCAACACCCCAAAGCTTGACAGTCAGTATACAGTATAACAATGAAAACACGGATTCTAGGAGCAGAATTATAGTTCAAATATATTTAGACTTTTTCTAAGTATAAGTCAAGTATACTTAAATGTCATCTTAAGTATATTTCTGAGAAGTACATACAAAGTAGACTAAAAGTATACTTTCCTATTTTTAGTTTAAAAGAAGTATACTAATAGCACACTTGAATAAACGTATTTTTCGTAACATGTGAACTTCAAAGGGAGAGTGCCAACAAAAAATACTATTTCGATAAATATTTAACTCTACTCAAGCGCAAGGTGTCGATGTGGACGCGGCGCGAACGGTGGAGCGCTTTTAACGTAACGTACCTGAGGTGAATCTTTTTTGCTCAGCAGCTTGGCTGAGTTTCAACGCCACTTACAGAAGAACAAGATAGCTCTTTAATATCAATCACAGAAAGACGTTTCGTCGTACAGCTGCGAACGGTTTTTCCTGTATCCCTCTACATTTAAACGAAAAAAGCCCATCCAGTTGTACGTTTACAATTGTTCTCCGACTGACGCAAGACGCGACAGTCCCTTATAAAACAATTTGAAGACACTAATTCAACTCCAATTGTGCTGTTAGTGACAAAATACGAGCATAAACTTCCCACCCAACAACCAATAACGCAGAAATTGGCAAAAAAATAAGCTATTTTGTTGGGTATGCGCGAGATGTCACCCAAAAAATCCGTTGGCCGCGTCACTGGCGAATTTCAGTCAGTTGAGGAGCGGGAAAAAAAACATACCTCGTTAAATCGATCTCCACACTTTTCCTCAGTCCTTCATAAGAGTTTGTACGAACGCTTGAAATATCACCACATCCCTCAGCTATCGTTGACGATGAAAGCCACCCAAAACCACCCATTCGGACTATTGTAGTATGTGCGCCCACCACACGCCGTCAGAAACAAAGAGGCTACTGGCGCTCCTCCCGCCTGCGCACCCCACCCCCTTCCAGGCATGAGTATGAAATTTGATATAGTGTAGTCTGATATATATATATATATATATATATATATATATATATATATATA